AGAAAACTCAAAGTATATTGTTCTAATCCTGGGACTGGCAACCTACAGCCCACAGGCCAAATCTGTCCCACCGCCTGTTTCTAAATAGCTTTACTGGAACCCAGCCACGCCTGTGTTTACATGTTGTCAGTGGCTGTTCTCCACAACAGCAGAGATGAGTGAATAAAAGACAGGTCACCTGGCCAGCCACGCCTCTACTGCTTACTGCCCCCCCCTTCTTAGAAAAAAGTTGCCAACGGTGGGGACGGAGGGGTGGGTAAAGCTCAGTGGTAGAGCTCACGCGTAGCAGGCACGAGGTTGTTTGTTTGTTTTTTAAGTAAAGTTAGTTTATTTTACCTGTAGCTCTTCCAATATAAACTGAATATAAATGCTGATACTGAGAAATATTAGGAAAAATGACTGATAGATGTCAGAATACCATCCTCAGGACCTCCATTAAAAGTGTTTTTAGTGAAAAGAGAAGAAAAGAAAAGAGAAGAGAAAGGTTGCTAACCCCCTGATATAGTCTAATCGTGGCAAAGAAAGGCAGTTTCTTTGCAGCCTCTTGTCATGGACAACTGAGCCTCCAAAGGTCCCAGGAGGTTCAGCTCCCGATGGCTTGGGGCGGGGCTGACACAGGACGCTGAAAAGGCTTGGAGGAGAGAGGTTTCCAACACCCTCCATTCGTACAGATCACAGCCCACTCGCTTCACGGAGAACTTCCCCCAACAGCAGTTCAGGACAACAGAGCGAGGGAAGTGGGCACAAACGGTTATTCCCACTTTACAGATGAGAATCCTGAAGGTAAGTGGCTTGTCAAGGATCACAGCACTTCCCAGGCTGCAGAGGTAGACCCTGTATGTGGAAACCCAAACCTTTGAGAATGGCTCAGGAGAGAGGCCCAAGGAACCTACATGGTTTTGCAAAAAGTAAAAATGACAAGGAAGAGCCCCAGGATTGGCAGCAGGGAGAGTGGGCAGAAGGAGAGGAAGACCGCCGGGCAGCTCGGGGCAGGGCGGGGAGACGCGCTGGATCTTCAAGGGCATCGATATCTACCATTTGATCTTAAGTTGTTTGCTGTTTGGCTGCATCCCCTAAACCCACAAAGCACGCCTGCCCCTGCAGTCTGGGGGACAGGGCAACGGACACGGAGGATTGGTGGCACCTGAGAAGGCAGAGAATTTGGCAGCCAGAGGACATCAGAACAAGAGACAGAAACATAGGTACCCAAATCCATGAAGATGCTGCCGGAGGCCAGAATGATGCCCACAGGCTGGAGGACCCGCGGATGTCCCTGTGAGCAGCTTATGGAATTTGCCGCCCATATCAAGATAAATGTGGGTGGCTTCCCAGAGCTTCTTGAAGGAGGAGTGCTTTTGGCCATTGAGACCCATCTCCCTCCACCCAAGACCACTCAAAATATTGTGTTCCAAGACCTCTTTCCGCAGACCAGAACTTTCTAGACTCTGACATCAGTCTTTTCAGTCTCCAGAGGAGAGGCTGGCAATATCAGGGTTGGCAGGGTCTGCCTGGCCCTGGAGCAATGCCCGCTTATTGGCAGAAGCTCTGCTAGGAGACATCGGGCTGCTGCTGGAGCTAAGAGCAGCGTGGTCTGGGCCGATCTCAGAGGTAATATTTAGAAATTCAGGAGATCCACAGCGGGGTGTGTTTCTGATGGGGAAACAGCAAGGCAGGTGCCAGTTGCTGCTCTGTGTCCCTATCTGCGTCAGATGGCTTCCTGAGTTGGGGGTGAGGACCACTCACCTGGGGCAGTTATCCCTGAGGTCTGCGGCTCTGTCTTACGCTCCTGGAGCTCTGTTGTTGTCTGCTCTGGAGGGGCTGAGACTGAATAATAGTTTGGAAGCGAAGCTGCAAATGCAACAGCAGCATTCCTCTAGCCAATAACTGATGGTATCTTAGGTGATCAGTCATCGCCCATTGCCTGCCATCTTCCATACCAAGGATACAAAGAATTCCCGTGGGCAGTGTCACTCTGCCAAGGACTGTGCACATCCAGTCAACACATTTCACAGCACTTGAGACAGACTGTGTGGCTGCCAGTCCAGTCTGACAGTGACAGCGTAGGAAAGAGGAGACAGGGTCCAGGTCAGGCAGGGGGCCTTGGAGGTACAGGGAAGTCCCCGTCCTCATGCCGTTCAGGCAGGTGGGGTCCCCACATCCCAAAGAAAAATGTCCTTCTTTCATCTGTCCTTCCAATGCACTCCAGAATGTCACTGACACCTCCCGCCACCTCTTCTGTCCTCTCTTCTTCAGTGATGACGTGCAGAGCACCCCCACGGGACCGTCCTTGAGCAAGTCCACCAAGGACAGGCTTCTCTCTACAGCCCGTTGGTTATTCACTTGCAACTTCTTGCATGTTGCGTTGCGTCTGCTCATCAGTTCCTCTGTGTGATTGTGCCTCCCAGTACCAAAAACCTGGTCAAGACAGAGGAAAATCCACAAAGCCAATTCAGATAGTAGCTTCTGGGCCACCGCTACCGGCATCACAACCCAGGGACAACGGCGACAACCACTGGAGTCACCCTCGGTGTTCTCGCTGCGCAGGGTGTGGGCTAAGTCCACTACTTGCTTTATCTCACCTAACCCCCGGGTGATCCTGCAGGTGGGTGCTGGCCTCCCTGCTTCCCAGACAAAACGCAGTGCAGCCTTAGAGGTTCGGCAAACATACCCACCATCGCGTATGTAATTACGGGCAGCACAGGACACGCTCTCGGGCCTTTCTGAGCATGTGGGGGCTCCATCTCTTACGTGTGGTTACAGACTAGGGTCTCTTCTTCAAGTCTTGTGGTTGCGGAATATGGTCGGCACATTATTTTATATCGTGTCTTTCCTGCTTAGCAAGTGTCCTGCCGTTCTACTCCATATGATATCTTGAATGTTATTTCATCAATACATTTTTACACTATCTTTAATTTCTGCAAGGTATTTCATTATTTGTCTAAAGACATGGAAAAAGATGTTATTCTCTTAACAGCCAAAATAAAGCCCTAATTCGTCTGTTGCATTTCTAATAAGGAGAAGTCTCTATTTGGAGAATTTCTTGATAAACCTTTGGGATGGAGATGAGAGTGATGAAGGAAAAGATGACATAAAGATAAAACAAGTCCCAAAAGTCACTCAATCGCCTTCTAGGAAGGCGGGTGGGGGTTACTGCAAGCACTTCTGTTGTGCTGGGTTCTGGAATGAGGGAGAAAGCCAGTGCGGGCGCAGCCCAGCATTGCTCTCAGGGCGAGGGACGTGGACACGGGTGGGGAGGGGCCGTGCTGGGATGGATATGAAGTCGACTGGCAGAGGTCCTGCCCCAGGGAGCCCCAACACGGGGAAGCGAAATGCGAGCCAAGGGCTACCCCTGAGAGTGCTTCACTCTCGTATCTCCACCCAGTAGCCCAGGTGGGCGGCTGGCCTGAGGACACCTGAAGGCTGCTTGTCTGCTCACTCACCCTTCGGTTTCACTTGGGAAACCTAATCCCATCTCTGGCCTTTTTCCAAACATCAGCCTACTTGTCTTACGGGTTATGTCACTTCTGCTCAGTAGCTTGACGCAAGGCCCACACGTTAATGAAAGCGATGCTTTTGGAAATTTTCAACCTTATTTTTTAATTAGTGTTTTATAATTCTTCTTAGTAAGGGAGCCTCAGTGAAGATTATTTTCATCTAAGAAATGTTAAAACTCAAAGACCATGGTCTGGAGATATTGGTTAAGATGGCTAGGGAAAAAGCGTAATACAACAGGCTGAATGCATGTTAACAGTGGGTGCTTTTGAAAGGTAGGGTCAATAGTGATTTTCTTCTATTTTTCTATACTTTCCAATTCTCTGTGAAGGCCTTATGTACTTTGATAACCAGGACCTACAATAATCTGCCCCTGGCAAGTGCAGTCTGCTCATTAACGAGGGAGGTCAGCTCAAAGAGAAGAGAAAGGTGTCAGGGTGGGGACCCAGGCTCTGGTTGGTGGGAACCTGGCAAGAACCCGGCTCCACCGACTGCCTAGGGCCCTGGCCTGGGCTTTGCTGGGCATGGGAGGAACAGAAAGAAGAGAGAAACTCTAGGACCCGAGACATCCAACAACCCACAGAGCTGAATAGAGACAGTCACCTCGACTGTGCTGAGGTTCTGTGTCCCCTGGGTCTCCTGACAACAAGGCAGAGTCCTGCAGAAAGCCAGCTCTAAACCCCCTGCTGCAGAGGAGAGCACTTACGAGCACGCAGGGTCTGGGCCACCTGGATCCCCAGCGGGCAGTTTACAGTTCATTCACCCAGAGCCTCCTTATTTAGTACATGCCACGTGCTAAGCTGGGTGCTGGTGATACACCAGGAATCGGTCCACCTTGACCCCTGCTCTCAGGGCGCTCTCCGTCCGGGAGCACCAGGCAAGGGGAGCGAGAGAAGAGGGCGTTTTCAACAGAGAGAGTGGCGAAGCCAGGGCCCAGGGGCACAGGAGAAGCTGGCCTATTCTGGGCATTGCAAGTCCTGTGTGGCTGGAGGTGAGGTTGAGGACCTGACACAGAACTTTCTGGGCACAGATGCCATACGGATGCCTTGGGGTTCAGGATCCTTCAGGCAGGAGAGCATCGCTTCAAGTTTTCCTTTTATAAAAATGCCTTCCTTAATGGCGGGGTGAAAGCCAGATCTAGGCAGAGAAGGACTGAGCTGGGGGACGAGTTAGAAGGCTGAAGCCAAGGATGATGAGGGACACTTGAACTTGGGCAAGTGCAGGGCCTGGAGAGAAGCAGGTGCCCTCCTGAGGTCTTGAGGAGGCAGACTCTAGGTCGTAGGTACAGATCCCTCCTTACCTCTGGACTGGAACAAGCCATCAGCCCCAAGACAAAACGGGAAGACAAATTAATTCAGAGATGGGCTTGGGACAAGCCCTGGAGGCGTGTGGAGTTCGGGGTAGACAGTGTGACACTGATTATAGCCAGAAAAGGTGTCAATCCTCATGTATATAGCACTTACTAGGGGTGTTTACCTAAGAGAAACAATTAGCCAGCATTGTAATTCACTAGAGTTTAGTTTGGAGGGGGTTTTAATATCAGATTGCCGAAGTGTAAAATCAGAACCAAATAAAGAAGTTAACAGAAAGGCAAGTATGGCCCCCAGCTGTCCCCCATGTGGACGTAGAAGTCTGCTGGGCCAACCCCGCTCCGTGTGCTGGCCGTGTAGAATGTCTTCAGTGACCCTCCAGTGTAAATACAAGGACAGCTCTGTAGGAAGCCTCTGGGGACACTCTCTCTGTAGATTTCCAGGCCAAATCCAAATGCTTCAAGAACCAACCCTCACAGACATGCAAATTAGGGCAGAAAAGAAACTTTAAAAAAGTCCAGAAGACATACTCTACGTGAGGAAACAAGGGGGATCTGAGGGTGATGAAAATTTTTTTCCTCTCTGTGCTATTTTGAAATTTTCTCAATAAGCTTTGAACTGCTTTTAAGTTAGGGAAACAAACACGATACTTATGAGAAATCAAGTTCATGAAGAAGGGGAGAAGGTTTTCGAGGTATTTTGCCAGATGTTTCGCTTCCATGAATCGTGTTAACAGAAGCTGTAGTAATAAGACCAGCGAGACACTACTGTTGCAAAATCAAGGAAACCCACATCATACTGCCTCTTGGCCTCCCGGGCCAGCGTCTCAACCGAAGACACATGTCGTGGTCGACTGTGTGTCACAAACGAGAATGACGTGGTGAGAAAAGGCAGACAAAAAGCCCTCTGATTAACTCACGGCAGCCAACACAGACAGCCCCGGTGGCTCCACAGGGCTAGTCTTAAAAGGCAGGAAGATGTGGACAGCTTCTGCGACCACAACAGGAAGGACCTTATGCCCTTAAAGGATGACATTGAAATTATGCTCCCCCACTGG